AAGTATTTCGATTGAACTTTCGGTATACATCATCATCCTGACCACCATAATCATTTGGTACTTGCAAGTATTCAAAATATAAGACAATTCTTGGAAAACTTTTAAATAACTGTTTATATTAACAATATAGCATCACTTTAAAATTTTTAAAAATATTATGCATGTTGATTTATTGGACATATTTCTTGTAACAGTGAAAATTAATTTCTGGTCAAATGTATATAAATATAGGTTCAATAAAACAATTGCGTTATAAATATTAATTAGATTGTAAAATAAAGTCACTTTATGTATAGCTTTTAAACAGATGATAGTATGTAACAAAATGATTCGACCAAAAATATAAGGTTTTTAAATTTATTTATTAGCTTTAATAAAAAACGATCTGTTTAATAAATGATTTAACATGATACTCGAAATTAAATAAAATCTACATGCATTCATAAATTCCATTAAGCATTATTTTAATACCAATGTTTTTTTTTATAAACAAAACCTATTGTAACTTATAATTTAAGGGATCAGGTACTTGAATAAATGTTAAGGTGGAAGTGCAGTAGCCATTGTGAAGATTCTAACAAATTCATTTCATCGTATGGTAACTTTGAAATGTAAAGATCATTGGTAAACTTTTACTACTACTAAACTACTAAGCGATTCAAACTTTATTAACTCTCCTATTAAAATAACAAAACCCGAGTAAGTCCAAATCCCACCTTCTACACAACAAATTAAGCAGAGAGAGGCTTTAAATATGTTTCATTCGAACGGTTACACCTTTATGATGGGGATTCAAACTTGCGGACCATACTTTATCAGTGACCTTAGTAATGCTGAATAAAGAAGTTTAATCGCCTAGGATCAAAATACTCCCAACAATTTCTTCTCGAACCCCGAAAACTTTCTAATCCCCGTCACACTATATTTGAATGTGAGAAACTAAACAAGAATCGTTTAAAACTAAATACCCAAATCCTTAACTTGTAAATTTAGTCTTTGACCGTTATACACCAACCGAAAGCCACCTTCTTGACACACCGCGTTTTCACATTCAAACGACACTCGCCAATAAACTTTTAGCAGAGGTCCGACGATATTCCTTAGGAAAATCAACATTGTGTACCTTTGAAGTTATCTCGAGGGTATAATAATTGAAAACATATTCGTAGAGAAAATCAACTTTCACCGAACGTTCAATTTTAACCGTGCTACTATTATCGTTGCCGTCTGATGTGTGTATAGTTTCCCGTCCCGTAGTTTACAACACCGTGTAGCATCATTATTTATCTCCTGGAAATTGCATAGACCACGTGTGCGTTATTGTTTTACCCCGTGGCAGTTTGACACGAGGAGGAAAAAGAGATGTTCGCATAAAGTCGCGGGCCAAATAATAACCTTCGAACCTTGGCATATTCGGAAACGCTCTATCGTTTGCCCTCCCCACTTTCGGCTTCACCTTCCCCACTTTGCCCACGCCGTTCACTTGGAACCGTCATTACACCGACGCCTATCGTCTCGTCCATAAATCAGAATTACGTAGCCGAGTGACGTGACCGAGTTTTCAGATGCGATACTATGTAAACGGAATTTTTATTATCCCAAACGCAAAGTCTTCGGACATCGCTAGGCTTACAGACGTGATAAAAAAAAAATGTATGCACAGGACAAATATACATCCTTTTTGTGTAACCACTATCCCGAGCCCGTCAACAACCCAACCCCATACGTTTCGCGGTGATATTTCTTTTGGTCTTTTTATGAGGGTTGGGTCTCTTCTACGGCACCGCCACCGCCACCGTCGTCGGTCGTTGAATACTGATGACGGGTTTTTTTTTTTAAGGCGTATTGGTGTTGCCGGAGAGGCGACACGGTCGAGCTTTGAATATTGACACAAGTACCTGTGCACGTGACGTGAATTTTCTGCTTAGACGCTAATGTAACTGTGATTTTATGTTTCGCCATCGCTCCTTGCCGTACTTACCGCCATCTCGTTTTTAAAAGCTCAGTCGCAGTCGAGACTAAAATAATATAATGCTCCCGAAGCGCGACGACGGTCTCCCGTCGGCTATTGAAATTGAATTTCTAGGTACGGTTTGCCTGTCAGTTTCAAGTACGGAAAGCAGACGCATTGTTTAGTTTTTTTAATCCCCGCCTCGGTGAAATAATATTAAAAAAAATAAAACAAACGGTCACGTCCAATATAGTCGTGTCGAAAACATAAAACATGTCAAATGCCAATGATCAGAGTACAATATTCGTTGTTTTCGCGAAGAATATAACGATGTCATACAAATATTAAAACTATATAACAGCATTAATAACATATCAACGGGCTCAACACAAATATATAGCCAATATTAACTTAAAGAAAGTTTAACGACCGCGTTTTATAGTTACGAATAAGATAATATTATATTATTAACTTTGGGGCTAATAATATAACCCCAAATAAAATAATATAACGGTTTCGTTGATACTATTCTCCGGTCTTATACAATTAGTATATTGTATGTGATAACAAATTTTAATTTTGATAATCGTCGTGTAGTAGTTCATACAGTGGATAAAATATATCAATACTAAAACGGTTTCTTAACGGATAATTTAACAAGTGTTCTTTTTGAGCTGTTATTATTTTTTTACGGCTTTACCATTGGTCCGCTCTTCCGACCCTTTTCACCATTAACAACAAAAAATATGGCCTTAAAAGGATTAAAAGACACGATTTATAGAGCCAACGCCAAGGCCTGGGGTTGTTAAAAATGAATTATGGGAATAAGGCTCGTAATGAATTCATGATATATATTATAAAATATACATATTATAATGACATATTACCTAACGTTCTTTTTACATCGCCGTGTACAGCAAAGCGACGTCAAACTCGCGCGCACTAGGACCAAAATTCGTTCGTTATTTTTTCTTATTTATCTTTTATTTCTTTTGGTCGTCGGTCGAGTAATTTCCATAAAACCCCAGCGAAAAAGTATAATACTCTTACTCCATATATAGGACAGGCCTAAGAAGCTTAAGCATTCATGACAAAAACCTTTGCCGGGCAAGCTCATCGCTGGCTCGCACACAACAACGATTCCCACTCTCATTAGTCACTTTGCGAGGCAATAAACCTATAAGTCCCCACATCCTAAGTGAAAATCGTCTTAAGCTCACACCACCAACACGTGTTCAGCGCATGAGATGCGTTCGTATACGATCGTCGAACGAGATATACACTTTAAAAAATGTGCACTTTGCCATATCGACTGCTCGCAATCATTTTTTGTAATATTACTTCTATGATGTACATCGAAGTACGTGACAGATAATATGAGCACATACTTGCTTATCGGTCTTGATTTGTGTATTAATACTCCTATAGGACTGGTATATATATGGCGGAGAGTCTTAAAATATTATATCACGGACCTACTCCGCAAGACAAATGCATTATTTAGTTGATGACGCAAAAATAAAAGTACTTATACGTGAGCCTATGTTTTGAGGGGAAAAAACGTTAAGTGAAAAGTCTTGTAAACATTTGGGCCACCAACTGTACACTGCTGTCTCTGATCCAACAACATTCCATTAGATTTACATAATATATTAACTCGCCTTATAAAAATCGCATTAAAATACAGCGCTTGAAGACTAATAATTATTTTTGTTATTAGTCCCTTTATCTAATAATTATTGTACGATTTTTTATCAGAAAAGAAAAAATGTGTATAAAATCGGTAAATTAAAGTTCTACCATTAGTTTTTTTATCATTTTAACGGCTTTGACATCAAATTTAATAAATCAAATAGCCCGACATTGAGAGCAAACATTTAACCTCTTTATACGATTAAAGTATTTCGCATATTTAATGATATGGCCGAGATTTGTACTTAAAACGAAAATACTTATACTCTTTTGGTTCACAGCTATCATTTTATTTTATGGTTTTTTCCCAAAAATAAAATGTATATCCAAAATGTTTCTTCGCCATTGTCCATTATTATCATTATTATTATATGAAAAATTTTGCACGAATTTCAATTAGGTATATTGTCTAAGGATAGACGTTTTTCCTTTACTATCTACACTATACAATAATAACATACCTAATTATTATACGTTACGCGAGTGTTTTGTTTGAAGTAATTTACCTTTGTCTGTGATTGCAGTCGTACAAAGGAAATCAGCTCGTGCAAATAATACAAAATCCCATAGTAAATGGAAAAAAAAAATAATATTTTCGTTTCAAGTCAGTTTCAAATTCGATTATCAGCCATTATGGTCGTCTTTAACGTGTGTCGTGCACGAGAAAATATCACAACTGACGGGGAAAAAGCTAGAGAGATAAACAAAGGGGCCGAAGGCAGACAGGAGAATTGAATAGGCTGAAGTCAATTCTCATCGTACACACCACACAGCATACACAAACTCTCACTAACGACTGCGGTGGCGACTCAGTTGTTTCCGATTAACGCGGCCAATCGTAATTTTTCACAGTTTATCGCTCGAAACACGTTTTGACGATTACCAATCAAAATCTCAATTCCCAGCAGTTCCCAGCACGGATTTCCGAGTTCAGCCAAACTGCATCTGCAATAATTGTTACCGAGTCTGAGTCGTGTCTAGATTTTGATAAAAGCCGTTGTTCCGTTCATCATTGATACCTACCTAGTTAAGCGTTTAACGTCCAAGGCAAACGAATCCCAGACAAAAATCAACACATCATAATCGAAACAGTTTCAAAATAAAAGAAACCAATGCTTTGATTTTAGATTTGTCGATTCTCTGAACTTGTTTGCCGACAACACGTATAGTAGTTTTTATTAACTATAAAATTACTATATTTTCTCCGGAATACATTTAAATAACAACAAAAAAAACTGTCTGTTACATAAACTAATTTGCGATATTTTATTATCCCTTGAACTCTTATACATTTTCTTGAAGAACATTATGCAAAGCACACTGTTTTTTTCTAATAAAGTTTATTATATGTTTTCAGGGCGTACAATTGTCGCACGTAATGATTCCAGAGAAGTGACTATGGCCAAACAAAAAGAAGCGAGTGAACGACTGAGTGCAAAATACTTCGTCGACCTGATGATGACACCAGGATAAAAAAAATATATACATTCGAATATACATACATAAATATCATAATTATATATATACATATATATAACTGAAACAATATAAAATATATAATACCAATTGTATACTAAAAGAAAATATTTAAGATGGACTTATGTAATATAGTGATTTTATTTATTTATAAAATTTACATTTTTTTATTTTCAAACAAAAATTTAATTATCTCGGTATTATTTTAACAATACCGGTCTTTAGCCGGGCGTTAGACGTGGAAAATTGGATGGTTTAAAACAAATACATCAAAACGGATCTGTTGATAATGCAAATGTAACTCAATCTAAACAGAGATGTGCTTACTTAAGTCTGACGTGGCTTATATATAAATTGCATAAAGCTCGGAGAGTCTTCTTTTGGATGAAACAAAACTCCTCCCGCTGATGAACCATGGTGCGAAAAAAATTAAATAAAAAACAGCCCTTTTTTTTTGCCTTTCTTGTCATAGTAAGTTGCTGTTGTTCTCCGTTTCACATAAATTGATTTTTTAAATTGGCAATCGCCCCCTCCCCTAAGCCGGTGTTAGTGATCACATTACTGTATTGTTATACACGATGTCTCGTTTCAGTTCTCTCTCTCTATGAGTTAGTGAATATAATCTAAAGGGATCCAAAATGACTACGATGGATATATACAATTTACATCGCCTTGTATTAGTAATAGTTTTAATTAAATTTTAAATACTCGATAACTACTTGATGAATGAAGTTACCAAGGAATGAGGTGGTAGACTTTTATTATCAACAATATTTGTACATACTATAATATTCGTTGGTAGGATCACTAGCAAGCGTTTTTGCTAAGTTCATGATTAAAGATATGGAGATTCGAATATGCGATACCAACACGCATCTCATATTGTATAAAGGGTACTAAGTGGTACTTCATAATGATCGTCGTACTTGAGTATATTATTATGTAGACCTCACATGGATCTGTTATCGATAGGCAATATGGCGTACAATTCTTGGATACTTGTATTAATACATATTTAGGTTTTGATTAAACTGTGAGATATATTTATACCATAAACCCGTGGCTTTCCTAAGGTAACATTATTTTTTTTAATAAGCATAATATTATTAAATCTGACATTTGCGATAATATACCAAAAAAAAAATCTCAAACTAGTTTGTTTGTTTGTTTGTCAGTTAGCTAACTCGAAAATTGAAAATGAAAACCTTTAGAAGATGGCACTCACAGTTAATTTTAATACAGAGTTCTGAAAGTTTTAATTGATCATCCGAAACGTTAATTTAAATGCTAAACTTTTGCGACTGCTCTAAAGACAAGATTACTGCGACCGTTAGGATTACGTCTGCCGTAACCACGAGGATAACCAAAACTGCGTTAAACGATTGACCACAAAATTCAACTTGTCCCACCTCATCAGCCACCAACAATACTATACAATACTATATAACAATATCTGTGAACGTTCTGGCTATTAATAGGGACCTTTAAATCCTTACACTCACGCTAGCTGAACGGCTAACCTTAAAGCTCATTTCATGGATTTGCATTCTGCAGAAACAGATACAGATATATTCATTTATTCCGAAAGTATGCAACTTTAACATAATATAATGCATATTAGATTACAAGAAATGATATATGTTTGGCATTCAATAAAACAAACCCGAATTCTATACCATTGTCCTTGCGGTTATAGTTTTAGCATTCAAAAAGTAAATAACAGTCAACAGTTATAATATTGTTTCAGTAATATTTTATATTTTCCAATTATCGACAAATTTGTAATTTACGTTCATTTTAGTTTTTTGTTTTACGAAGTTCTTTAAAAAAATTGAATTTATTTTATATTTTAAAAAAAGAAACGAAACAATACTTAGTTCAACCGGAGACCAAAATCCAATTTATTATGTGAACAACCATTCATGGCTGAATGCAATTTGTCGAACATTTCTTTAAAAACAAATACATATCAATGCTTATTGATTTTTAATGGATAGACTATTTAAATTTAACACATCTCCTGGTGATTAATCAAATTACGTATTTAATTTGAGCTAAAAAGTAAAATAACTAATTAATATTTTATGTCTTCATTAAAATATGTGGATCATTTTAAGATGAACCCGTGTATTCAAATTTGTGCTAACGTTTCGGACTCATTCCGGAGTCCATTTTCGAAGTGATTGTCATCGTCTTTTAGAGGTAAAAAGAAAAAAATACTTTGCTAATTGAAAAAATATTAAAAATTGAAAAACGCAGTGTACACGTGCATTTATATATTATTAAACAAAAAGATCTTAGGTGTACCTATACAATGAGCATCTCGACTTCTTATTATTGTAATACAAAGCTTAGTCATTCGGTCGGCACAAATAAGGCAAACGAGAAAATGAAAATACAATCATTTTGTCTCATTGATGTTTTATGAGACGTATATTATTATAATGTAAAGCGGAGTATATTGTTTTCTTACGGACGGTCTATTCCAATTTCAATGATTGTTGTTTGACTTTGACGTTTTTTTTTTAATATATATAATATGTGCTTACTCTTAATGTAAGAGCAAACATAGACACACGCGTTAAAGCTCATGAACGGTCGGTACAAATAATACTCGAAATGTAAACATCACCGTCGCGTCGACTCGAGCCATTCTTTTTCGTTAAAAACCAATCCCGGTTTTTTCCACTACCTATTCATTAACTTTATTCATTGTAATGTAAATTTATAGATTCCAAGCACTTTAACGTTTACATGGCGAGTCTAAATGTCTGTTTTATCTAATAGAAGTTTTAATTTCCGACTAGCGTTACTGTCATTATAAAAAATGCGTATGTTAAAGCACAATATGCATAAAAAAAATAAATATATTTTTTTTTTTTTAGAAAATGTCTTTATTATATTATATTTACATCTATACAAAATATATGCACAACAGTCAATGGGTGAACAGTACAAAAAGAAAATTAATAGTATAGCTTGAATAACATGCAGTAGGGGGGCACCCAATGGAGCTACCCTACTTTAAATTTTCAGTTAGTTTATCTAATTTTTATTTTGAATTTTTTTTATTTTATAATTTATAGGAGGTCTCTACACCATTTCCTTTTTAATCTTCTTGGTGGATTATCAGGGATATGATTAGAATAGAGGTAGCGTATATTAGGGTTAGGGTGAGAGATGAATTTATTATGAAGTTTTTGGTAGGCAGTTTTGGCGATATTGTTTACATAACTGATTTGGAGATCAGAATGAAGGGTTTTATTAGAAACATACCAAGGGGAGTTTGTGAGTGTGCGTAGGCAAATGGATTGAAATGACTGGATTTTTTGGATGTTAGATGGAGCGGCACAGCCCCAGATTTGGATACCGTAATACCATAGTGGAAAGAGAAGAGTTTTGTAGATGAGTGTTTTGAGTTTAAGATTAAGTTTGGAACGTAAGAGAGGGCGAAAATATATATATATATATATATATATATATATATTATTAAAAAACAATGACAAAAATAAGGGTTTAATCTAATGTCTTAATGTGGCTTAGCCTTTCCTAACTACATTCGGAATTTCCCTCAAGCGTTTCAATCAGACTTCTTGTCCGAGATTCTAAATAATTAATTAACTCTTCTTTGTGTATCCATCTACCGTGTATGGTCATAAATAATTAAATCGATAACAATACAAAAATATATAATATCTGCTCTGTCTATGAAATCGTCAATCACTCAACTCTTTAACATACGTCTTTACTTTAGTTGCAAAATGTATAAACTTGAATGTTCTTAAAATGAGAAATTATAACTTTCCATGAGTTTAAAAAAATAAAAATCAAGTTTTTGAATACCAAAATAAATTCCGTTTTTAATATATTATAATTTATAATATATAATTTATAAGCCACAAGTCAGTTTGTTGAATTTTCAATTTTTAACAAATACCGCAATCTTTATAATTCAGTTTCGATGATAACCTCGGGTTGTAATAATATTATTTTTATAATAAAGCCTATAAAAGCTACAAGCAGTATATACATTTAAAAAATAATATTTTTCTGATTGCATTTATTACTAATTACATTGTGTCCAATTTATTGAATTGCACCAATTTACTAAATAACGGTATTTTAGTGTTTCCTTTATGTTGTTTTAGTGGCTATAGAAATTTATCTTACTTCGTAAAATAAAATAAATAGATTTAAATTTTTTTTTAAGATTTATTTGTCCAAAATATTTTGAAATGTTTCAACAGTATATATGAAATTTCGCTTCTATGCTTAGTATAATTATGTTGATAGCAATTTAATTATGTATACTTGTATATCTAGGCTGTAGCAATGAAACTTTAACGATAGTATGATTTATGGGCTCGCCAAACGAGAAGCCACGGGAGACAATTTTTCAATAATTATATATTTTGTGGCATTGGACACCACGTCAATAAATTAATAAATTAACAATGGATTCCAGTCATATAAATCACTATGTTAAAAATTATATTATTATTCCAAAAATTAAAACATGAATAGCGGTAAAACGGTTTTAATAAATATTTCTAACAATGTTCAACATAAATCAGATATCTAATATAGTTTAGAATGAAAATTCATTAACACCATAATAGCATATATAATTACTATTTCCTAACAACTCGAAATTAGAATATACATTCAAAATTAAAATATACATTCAATCTATAATGTTTTCTTTTGTTTGTCAATACAAAACACCATCTACGTGAATCAAAAATAATTTTTCAACTCGATCGTAATTTTTTAACGAAATGCTGTCAAGTGAAAACTTTGAAAGTTAAGAAAACTTGGTCGGCAGTTGTTGATATGCCTTTTAATAAAAAATATCTGTCATAAACATCTTGGATCGTATCCAGTATTACATAGGTATGTACTGTCAAAATAGAAAAAGAATGTGAGAAAACAAATATTGCCTTTTTAATAATTTATAACTTTAGAAACCCGCTTGTTTGAATTTACAATAACAATATCTGTTAAAAGTTCTAAAACACTTTTTTACAAAAATGGCAAGTTTTTTTAGTTCAAACTTAAAATAAAAACATTGCCAAAAAAATCAAAGCCACACTAGTATAAATGTTTATATTTCTCGCTAAAAATGGTTCAACTATATATTACTTAAAAGTACGTAT